CATCTATGGTGGATTCTCTTTAATCCCTTTAATGAATGTCAAGCCCAATATTTCTTATCAATCGTGCTTCTGTGGTTGCCTAACTACAAACGACATAATCTTTAGTGCATGGCCATAATCTTTTGGCAATAATCATATGCTTTCAATATAGATAACGATTTAGTCTATTATAAGGAGCAAGATTCTTAAAATTAATATAGTCTCATCAACGCCAGATAATAATCGTCATTATTAGAATACCAATGTCCGACCAACATCACCACCATCATCGAATAACAGTTGCTTGGCCACAACTACCATCGTCGGAACACTATCAGGTGGTCAATACACCCGAACACCTGTCACCTTCTCTTGTTCAATGGCGTTACTACAACCATTCTGCTAATACATGATCACCATTTTTTGTTGTTTTTGGGGCCATATATCATAGCCTGGTCAACACTGATGGATCACTTACATTATTGTAATACCATGGATGTTATGCCTACTGATTAGTTGTCATTATAGTTGCTAGACCACTGGTATCACCATCTGTAGCTATTGCTATCAAACCATGATCACCCGGTCAATAGTGTTGGACCACATTGTTATTATTGGACTTTCATTACTCATTGATAAACAAGCTGACACTACCTTCACTTGACCACTACTACCAATATCGAACCAAAACTGTCGGTCCACCATTGTGCTTGACCACCATCATCGGGTTTTTGCCATGCTACAACACCGTTATTGGGTTGTTGGATCATCATAGTGTCGCACAATTGTCATTCGACCGCCACAGCTAGAAGAACACCATCAACTCGCAGCTACCTTTCCCGGAACACTTTCACTGCTACTCAATCAACACTATTCTTGTCATCATTAAACCATCATTGCTCAGTGATCATCGTTGCAAGACCACAAACCATGATGCCCTCCAAACTTAGCCTGTCTAATGTGGATTGTCAACACTTCTTCCAAAGAAAGATAGCTACCCCATCATAGGTAGGACGACATGTCTTGATCGCTTCTAAGCCCCGTCTGTCCAATGAGGGCAGTCACCGCCTCTTCTAAATGAAGACAGTTGCCTTGTAGAAGGATGTTGACCTTGATTACCTTCAAACTCAGTTTGTCTCTTGAGGGTAGTCAACACTCGTTTGAAGGAAAGATAGGTGTCTCATCAAAGGATTACTAGCTTTGACTACTTTCAAACTCAGTCTGTCTGATGAGGGAAATCTATTCATTTTTTGAGGAAGGATAGCTACCTCACTGTTGGATTGTGGGCCTTGGTCGTCTCTAGACTAAGTTTGTCTGTCAACACCTCTTTCAAAAGAAAAGAGGTGCCTTGTCGTAAGATCACAGGCCTTGATCACCTCCAATTTTGGTCCCCCTATTAAATATGATCAACTCTCTCTATTTTCATGGAGAAATCAAAATTTCATCCTTGAGAACATGAATACTGCTCACTTTGGTGCTCTCCCATCAACCCCTAGGGTGTGTTAATATATTCAAGCAGGAAAGAATAGAAGAACATTTTTTTGTGGAAAAAATTCATAATTTATGAAGAATCTTTGAAATTTCTAATCGTGTATATACTTTTTCTCTTAAAAATAGAGCAAGAATGGAAAAATCTCATAAAAATCTCAATAATTCTAGATTTTAGTGTTGTTTGCATAGGTGCATACTCACTTTTTCGTGCATGCATGCGCAATTTATTTGTACATGTGCTCAATTCACAGAAAGGCACATGCGCACACCATTTGCCTATGCATATGCAAGCCATTATCGCTAGCGGATGTAGTCAGCATGACCCATTTTGAGAATCTTTTGATCTCTAAGACCATTTATCAACATTCTAAGCACAACTTTGTTGATTTCAAATAAATATTAAGAATACTTGTTGACACATGATTCCGAGAAAGGGTACGCACTAACGTCCAAGGAGCGGTTGCACCTTAATAATTTTTTTTTTTTCATACGGTTATTTTGTATCACATAATTTTTTGGTAACTTGAGATTTATTTCAACATCTCTGACGACAACATCTGAAAATGGGGCAAATTGATTCACACTGATTTTGACACACATGATTCGAGAAGCTTAAAAATTAAATTACGAAATACCTAAACTCTAATCTAAATGAAGTGTCTTGGCAAGACAAACCAGTTGTCATAAAAATGGTCTGATTTGAGTCTAAGTGAGTCGGAACATGCACTAAACGCATAATAAGAAGCTTTAAGGTATATTTTGTGTACCAAATAATCTCAAATTCTAACAAGTTTATAGTCAAATTGTGTGACTTGATGAGACTTGTCCGAGTTCAAGATCACTTAATTCCAACATTATTAAGGCATTAAAATACTTATAGAAAAACAAATGATACATTCAGTTGTTCGATGGAGTTGTATAGACTCGTGCAGTACTTATAGAGAATATCAAACTCCAAAAGCATCACTGCAAATAAAAACCAACAAACCAACGAGTCCACAAACAATCTGAAGCAATAAGATCAGATAAACCTAAAAAGTCATGATAGATAATTTAGCAGCATCTATTTTCCCGCATTATCATTCAAGAGAAGTTATAGAATAATGGATATATGAGTACTATTTTTTTGTTTTTCTAAGATTTTTTTTTAGTTGTTTTTTATATGTTTGTTCTTATGTTATTAATCACCAATTTGTTTTCTCTTGCGTCTTCTTTAGTCTAGAGGAACATTTAAGAGGGAGAAATTTGAGAACTAGTTTCATATTTTCTTTTATTTGAAATGTTTATACTAATAAAATTGCATATGTTATGATGCAAACTTGAATGTCATATGTCAGATAAGTTATCAACAATAATTTTTCTTTGCTTCAATCAGGCTAGCCAAATTGGGCCCTCGAGCGAATCATTAGAATTTAATGAGATATCTTAATCAAAGAAGACTTCGTCCATAATTACCATTTTTCTCATTCATAGCAACACTTGTACTTGTTATCTAGCAATAGGTAGTATTTGTGGCAAAACTTGTCAATTTTAAAATTGATAAATGGTGATTGGTTGAGTCCTTTGATAGTTATTTTCATCATCTCTTTAAATAACTATTGTATAACCTTCCCCGATTACTAACTTATCTGGCATAAAATCTTTATATCTGCTTAAAACATATGAATTTCCAGTGCTCAAATTTCTCCGGTCAAAATGTTGTTGTAGACCCAAGATGAGAAAATAGAAAGCAAATTGACGAATACAAATATAAGAACACTCATTTAAAAAATAAGTCCAAGAAAATTTCTCAGAGTTACAAAAAAACAGTACTCATATATCTATATTTCCATAACTTCTCCCATTTGATCAAAAACAAAAATTGATGTTGCTAACTCACCTGTCATGTAACCTTCAAGTTTGCCTTAAAATATATGCATTTTTAATGGTAAAAAACTTTCAAATAAAAGAAAATATGAAACTAGTACTTAAATTTCTCTCCCCAAAATGTTTCTGTAAACTGAAAATGAGGAAATATCAAGCAAATTGACAATTACTAACATGAAAGAAGATATTTATAAAAGAAAATAAAAAAAAATTCTCAGAGATACAAAGAAGTATTAATCGTATATCTATCATTTCATAACTTTTTCTTGAATGATCAGGAGGAAAAATTAATGATACTAACTTATTTGTCGTGTAACTTTCAAATTTGTCTCAAAACATATGCATTTCAACTGATAAAAAACTTTCAAATAAAAAGAATTGAAACCAATGCTCAAGTTTCTCCTCCCAAAATATTTTTATAGAATGAAAAAAGGAAAGATCAAACAAATCGATAACTACTAACATGAAAACATGCATATAAAAAATAAGTCCAGAAAACTTCTCAACGATACAGAGAAAAAGTACTCATATATTTATCCTTCCATCACTTCTTCTAAATGATAAAGAGGGAAAATATAGGTTGGTAACTTATCTGGTACGTAACTTTCAAATTTACCTCAAAGTATATGCATTTCAAATGGTATATAAACATTGGTTATATATATATATATATATATAACCAGTGTTTAAATTTCTCCCCCTTGAATGTTCCTCTAGACTAAAGAATGCAAAAGCAAGCAAATTGACAATTACTAACATCAGAACAAGCATAATAAAAACATGTCTAACAAAAATTCTAAGAGAAAGAGGAAAACATTTCACATAATCGAACACATAAGCCGAACACAAAGCAAACCAACTTTATGTGAAGCCAAATAAGGCAATGAAGAAGAGGGAAACCAAAAACACTAAAAAAACACATAAAGGAAAAATCTTCAACGGAGGGAGGCAGCTAGTCGACTGCACTGACAGCAGAGATAGGCGACTGCAATCGGGTTCCAGACCTAAAGACACATGTAATAATTAAAGGAGAGGACGAGGGGTATTTGCGCGATATGGTGAGTTATTCCACGAATTGAAGAGGAGCATTGACATCAACTACCACTCACAACAGAACTCTCATTGGGGAACACACAAGACCCCGCTGTTTCGGCCTTTCCAATTCAGTGACCCGCCAACCGTGAAACACACGCAAAAGAAAAGATGCTCTCAAACGTGTTGTTCGTCGTTTTAGAAAGGAGAAGCCGAAGGAGCAGGCTCCCCAACGAAAAATTATTCCATACGGACGGGCACCGCATGCATCTTGCATGCGGTGTCCGATCCTGACCATAAATCAGGTGATCTACGGTCAGGATGTATTTTTCGGTGGGCCTCATCTAATTTTTTTTTTTAACTGAAATATATCCTGATCGTAAGTTACAGTAATCTACGGTCAGGATCGGACACCGCATGCAGTCCTTATGTAATAATTTCTCTTCCCGAATGAGCCCTAAGGGTAAGTTAAAAAATTGGGTGTTAAAT